TGTATTTCCTCAGCGACCAGCACGGATCAGCTCCAGGCATGACGAAGCGATATCGTCCTCTTTTGGAAGACCAAACAAAGTAGTTTCGCTTTTACAAAACGAAGCACACAGCGCCTTCACAACATGGTGGCGGCGGCAACAATACTACAGCGAGAATAAATGTTACGCCTTCTTTCTTTGTGTGAACATTTGGGCGGCGTTATGCAAATCTTCCCACATAGTGAGGTAGGTATGTGGGGCGTGTTAGAACGAGCCGCTTTAGGTAGGCGTGGCTGACTCTTAACTTTTATAAAGAATATCTCTTTGGATTTGAGACTTTAGTCTTTGCAACTTTACAGATCTTCTTTATGCACCAAGAGCTTGTAACACTCCGAAGAGAAAGGAAAAATTTTAATCGCATCATATGACCCCGTTAAGCTGGAATTTACTAGGGTAACTCCTGCAAGGTTGTTGGCTGGCCAGCAGGGGGCGCCTTAGGTCGTAACCAAAGTGTTCAATAACTGTGTTTCCAATAATAGACTCAGCTCACGTGCACTCTTTACACTATACATTATACATGTCACATACAACAAAGTACCAAAAAGTAGCATGGTATTACCATGGGGTTTTGGAAATTAAAACACAGTAAATATCATGGTAAATGTCATGATATTATCATGAATTCCAGTATCATCCTATATGCACCATGGTATTACCATCTGATCCATCACAGTATTTACAGCCACAGTATTTAATTTTTTTTATTTTTTTGAGGGTTAATAAACAATATATTTTCATTATTTAGTTGCAGCTTATATTTATATTAGTACCCTAGATATTTCTCTGTTGTTGTTATTCTATAGCTCCAGAGACATTATCATGAAGTAAATTATCGTAAATATGGACAGGAACTGATTTTTGTCTTTGATCCTCATAAAAAGTTTATCTGGGTATTAGGCTACTACGCTTCTATAATGATATACATCTATCTACTTCCTCAGGCAAACATCGCATTTAACATTAATAACAATAATAGTTATTAATAATAATAATTATTTACAGTATTATAATTATAATATTAATATATTAATAGTTATTAACAATAATTTCAACATCATTATACAGTATTGCTGAACTAAAAGTTTATGACCGTATCAACAGCATCATTATCAGATAATAATTAATTTCTTAGTATGGTAAATTAATTTTAAATTTAAAAATGAATAATTCAGTGCATAAAATAAAATGATGTAGCATCACTAAGAACAATGAACAAAAGTACATTTATAAATTAACATTGACCAAGATTAAATTTAAGATTAATTAAGTATTTTGCAGAAATTCGTACAGATTTGTAACGACATGAGGATGAGTAAATGATGACAGTTTTTCATTTTTTTAAAATAATAATACCTCTAGGGTTTGTTAATTTTCATATTTACATATCCTACCACACGCTCACCAACTTGAGTCAATATCCATAAAGGTATTTTTACTTTTACCTAAATATGACAACTGGATACTTTATAAAGTCAACACCAAAAAACTTTACTTTACAAAAAACAATGGTCAAACCTGAGGTTCAGTTAATCTGCTAT